GTTTGAGCCCAGGGCTGGATTCCTTTGGTGTAAGCTTGGCAGCCAAGCTGACCTTTCTGAGTCTCAGGTTTCTCACCTCTAAATTGTGATTGTTCTGAATGACTTACTTCCAATTCTAGACCCTTCCCTCATGTCTAGACTTCTCTATATAGCTCCATAAAAGTAGCTATTTTTTTGTCAGAATATGCCAAATTCACCTGTTGAATTTATAAAATTAGTAAAGTACATATCAGATTTTAAGTCTTGTGATTTTTCCCAGTGAACCATAATTATTTATGATAAAAAATTTTATACAGTAAAAATGATGTAGTAGAAATCATCCTAGGCACTTATCTGACAAACCCTCCACTCCCATCCTTTTTGCTTTAAGTTTTGCAGAATTCTTCTGGGCTCTAATAAGATGAATAAGTCATGGCTGGCAATTCTGGCAGAAGGTACTTGCCACTTAAGAAATGCAGAATCTGAAGTAAGATAGCCCTATGATAGAAATGTGAACATGCTTAATATATGTCAATCTATTTCATAATGTAAATACAAAGTTTCTAAGTGTATGCTCTTTTCCAACAAAAATTTAATTAGACTTAATTAGCATTTAAATGAGAAATCATGGATGTCAGTGTATGAGACATGAGTCACAAAGGTGTAGATTCAGCCAGGACTGGCTTCAGATTCTACCATCAATAGATATTTTAATAGGTTGAACTGTGCATATATTTGAGTTTAATCTTTGTAAGACTCAGCTTGACTGGAGATCATTGTAGAGAAGGAAGAAAACAAAAATGTTTTTGGTATATATATATATACCACAATGAGTGCTTCCACAGTGTGGTAAGTTGTGTGTCAACTTGGCTGTGGCATAGTTTTGAGTGGCTAGGCAGCTGAATGTAGTTATTCCCCATGAGGAGATTGGTAATTAACTCCATGGTGGAATCTATTCTGAGAAGCTAAGTAGTTGCCTTCGGTATGTAGCCTGCTTCCAGTATATAAGAACAAACTTTGGGGAAGATCTCGAACTTTTGGCATATCTGGATCCTGCATTTAGCCAAGTCTTCATCTCAGTGGTCTTCCATGTTGTCTGCTAATCTTGGGATTGTACCATTTTAACTGCCGATCTTGGGTTTGTCAGCCTCAGCAGCCAGCAGCTGCCTGAGTTAAGGGATGCCTCTAGCTTCAGTGGGCCAGGAGCAAGAGGCAGAGCTGAAGCCCAAGGTTGAGAGGCCTTCACTTAGCCCCTAGAGCTGGCACTTTGAACTCGGACTTCTAGTCTCCTAAACTGTAAGAGAATAAATTCCTGTTTGTTAAAGCCATCCATTTGTGGTATGTCTGTTATACCAGCACTACAGAAACAAAACACCTATTTCATTTGATGGCTTCTAATGGCTGAAGTAGACTTCAAGATGAAGTACAATCATGCATTGCATAACAACTGTTTGGGCAATGTCTGACCTCATATACTCTGTAGTCCTCTAACGTTATAAGAGTTTAGAAATTCCAGTTAGAAAATGGGACGTAGCAGATGTAACTGGATATAACTAACAGAACACCTTTCCACAAGCAACATGTGTATCTCACGTCTCTCGCATGCAAAGATATTGTGCTGCCAGGCATATTATGGTACAGTACACATATAACCTATAATGCATATATGTAATACATGTATCTTGATAATAAACACTATTACTGGCTTATTATGTACTGTACTCTCTATTGTTATTTTAATGTGACCTTTCCCTACTTAAAGTTTGCTGTCTCATATTGTATGCTTCCATTCACAGGCAGCCGCATCCAATCTCATGTATTCCATGTCTCTTGGGTGCTGCAGCAATGTTTGATTTTCTTCTGAAAATATTACGTGAATATTTTTCCTATGTATACACGGTTGTACGAATCACCTGGGGATCCTGTTAAAATGTAAATTCTGATTTAGTCTATGTGGGGTGGAAAAGCAAATTCTCAGCAGGGGGTCAAGCTAGAATGAACTGGTTTGAAGCCCTGTATTAAACCACATAAAGGTGGAAAAATCAGTGAATGTTATTGCTCATGATTGAGATATATTTGTTTGTTTTGTTTGTCTGTTTGCTAAGTGTATCATATGGTGTTTGCACAACATCCAAATCCCATGAGGTCTTATTTCACAGAAGATATCGTAGACGTTAAATGATGCATACCTGTACTTGTTCATCAGTGAATGTGCATAGGTTTTCTAAAAATCTTTGTAGGGAAGCACATTCTTTTTTTTAGATCCAGGTGTTTTCACAGGATAACGTAGAGTCTGGTTAAATTTCCCTTGTGGAAAAAAATGATGTTTGTGGCAATATCTGCAAAATGAAATTTGGTTATCTTCACTGTCTGCATAAAAACAAATGAAACTTAAGGATAATTTTTAACCAAGTGAATTATACAAAGCATAATTTATAGTTTCATACTTGGTTTCGGGATATAAGGCAATATAGAGAACTTGTGAGGAAACACACACACACACACTTCTTTGTGCTTCATTCTTATTACTTTTGGGGCTCAGCCAATGTATCAGTAATCACCTACTGAAACAACCTAACACACTCCCCCCAAAATCTGCTAGGGAAACATCTAGTAACAAAAGTATTTCTAATCAAATATTTCTGGAACTAATTACAAATCCCTTAAATGCAGCAATGGTGGTATAATGAAGGATATGCTGCTGCTGGCAGGATAGTTCCCATCCAAAGTAGAGAACAGACCAGTTAAAATATAATACATGAAAAAAAAATTGTTTTTCAAAGATAATGATCTTTCTTTTAGGTTTTTCATAGTACAATCAAGGGGACTGGACAAGATTCTAAGTTTCCCCTCCCTCCACCTTTTAATATTGCATGATTACAATAAATATAATGTTAAAATGTGTTCCACTGTTTCATTCAAGTGGCAATAGAAAAAAAAATAACTTACTGAGTGTAAAGGCTTGACAACATAACCCTTTTAATTTACGGATAGTAATGGTGATCCCCAGGAAGTGATTAGCCAAGAAACCCTATCCATTTAGGGATGTGCTATCAATCAATGTTGCTGGTCCTGAATCTGAATCATCGAAAGTTTTGTTTTGCCTTCTTCTTTTTTATTACAGACTCCAGATTCCCAGACTCATTCCTTGGAGATTATGCTTTAGAATTAGGGAGTAAAGTCAAGAATCTCAGTTCTTAAGAAATTCCCAATAGTCTGATTTGTAGTTCAGAGCAGGAACCACAGATTCACATTAGACTCCTGGTTACAGTAATAGAAAGGAACAGGAACGCAGCACAGTCCTGGGGCAGGCTCCCAATGCCACACATAGCATCCGCCTGCAGGCCTGCCGTTTTATGCTGCAGGCTTCCACCTCTCCAGGGTCTCCTCCCCTTCAGCTAAACAGTGTTATCATGAGAATGACATCACTAAGCAAAAGAGTGGCTATATAGCCCTTGCTTACCATCCAAGCTCATAGTTTGGATGTTTAATTCAATTTCTTATTGGAAAGTATGACTCTATCTACCACCCTGTAACAGTCTTGAGCCTTTAAAGCAATTCGGGATTTGAAAATTATTTACTTTACTTTAGGTCATGATATATAATGAAGTGAATTTCTCTAAATTGTTATAATACATCATATGGACAAGGCTCTTTGAATACCTTGGCCTAAGAACTCCTTAAAACATTTCTGGTAACAAAGAAATGCTTAAGTAGAATTAATAGCTAACTAATAACACAGGTGCTATTGTACAGAGGCAATGGAGAGCAAAGCTGCTTCTTAGATCTGCCATGTGGGATTCCAGGCACCTCAACATTCTTAGTTCTGTCAGCTCTCAATACAGATTGTATGTGTTCTCTATATATGCAAGTTGCAGTCAAAACACACGTTTCTGTCCTGTATGCTACTCAAAAATGCCAAAGCTTAGCTTCAGGTTTTTTTATGTAGAACAGAATGAGAAAGACATTATAATTCAGCTCTCAACAAAATATTATTCCCTTTCTTGTTAATAAAAATGTGATTTAGTCCTTTAATAATTATAGGGAAAAAGAAAAGGAAAACGTGAATGACTTACATCTAAATATGTATGAAAGCAACTAAACTAAAAGTTTATCAGAAGTTTAAGAAAAAATAAAGTTCAGTGTAATTTTTTTTTTCTTTTACATTGTATTTAAGGAATGTCTAGTCCTGCAGCAAAAGAAAGTTATCATTTACTTAGGCCATTTATAACGTGGTCTCATGATTCTGGTTCAAGGATCAAGTATAAAATTAAAATCACAATATATTACCATATATAAAAGCATCTGTGAACATTTTATGCTTGCTTTAGAAGGCTGACCTGTTAAAACTGTGACATTTTTCTTTAAAAGTGAAAGCAAAGATCAGTGGCATTAGTTTATCCTTATATGGATTAAGAAATTATTTAAGTGTCATATTTAGAAGTCCATATGTGTAAATTCTTACTTTTCAATATGCTTGAGGCTGAGAAAATGATCAGTTAATATGTACCTCAAATGCCTTAAGTGAAATACTTGAGGCATACAAAATATAAATGGTACTGTATATTTTCAAAAATATAAACACAAAGAATATATAGGTATACATGTTATAATTTCAAAGTCAACACTAGCACATAAGTTTTCTCATCTAAATACATACTAAGATACTCCCTATTTCAACTCATGCACCTACAAACACATGGCCATGCATGTAACTGCTTGCTTTCTGTCACTTGCAAGAAAGTTAGAATATACAATATTGTACATTGTTTCAACTTAAATCATATTTGAAAATTAATGAGGATGGCATTAAAATAATTCTGACCTAAGAAATCAAAATACAGGAAGATAATTACTCCAAAGATTAAAAACACTGAAGACTGATGGGAAGTTAAGATTTAAATTGCATGTCCCAGTGATCCTGAAAGATACAGAAGAGAACAGGACTGGCTGTAAACACTCAGATGCTCTGTTTGGCAAATGGGACTACAGCTCTTGTAATCTAGCAATCCAGGCCAGACTTAGACCATCGATGCTTCGGCTCGCAGAGAAATGGGATAGTTGTGGGCAGTTCTCCGCAAAGCTGGGGGTGCAGATGGAGATCTGGATGCCCATCTAGATGGGAGACGGCGATTTGCTGGTCTAGCAGGTCTGGAAAACCCTTTTCCACGTGAACATTTCGCTGTTATAGGTTCCTAGGGCACAAATGAAGACATTCATCTCTATATGGGCACCAACGATGGATTCCAATTTTGAGATTAATATGTTAACCATATGTATATGCAAGTAAGAGCACTGAGAAACTATAAAAAGATGTTTATCTAATATTTTGTGCACTTTAATGTTTTAATCGAAGCAACTGTATTTTAATATGGAATATGACATTGGTAATCTGATAGATATCACACTGATACATTTTAGTAGAAAAATCTCTTTATAAAAATAATTATGAGCTTATGATACAAAAAATTTAGGTAATTTCAAGTGGTAGGACTGAACCCCAGATGTTTCTTAGTGGGATGTGAGAATGCTTTAGTGTTAAAAATAAAACAAATGAAATAAATTACTCAAGAAACTTTGTCCACTTACATTAAGTTACTGAAATTTTAAGAGGTCATAAGCAAAAATACAGAAAATGGTTAATATGATACCATGTTCCCCCCAAACCCCCGCTAGTAATTCTTTCAATGAGAGAAATATTTCCTTCACTTCTCTTCCTATTCTTTCATTTCCTTCTTTTTTATTTTTTACTTTAATGGAAGAAACACATTATTCGATCTTTGCAATCGAAATAAATAAATAAATATCTTCCATTAACACATTTTATACCCTTGATTCTTCTTACTGACTCTTTTAACAAACCCCGTACTCTTTCATCTGAGATGGGCAATAAGGGTGGTCTCCATTTCTGTTATTTTTATCATGGCCTGGCACAAACAGTAACCTTTTCCTTTTTTCCTCTGTGAAGACTTATTTTTTTTAGATTTGTTTCTAGGAAGAAAAAACAAAACAAAACAAAACAACTACATCCAGGGAGCTACAGTAAAGGACCCTCTCTACTCTACTACCCCTACTAAATGCACCTTTAATATTTAGTAATATTGTTGTTGTTGTTATGTGCCGTGGAGTCAGACCCAACTCATAGCGACCCCTCCTTGGGTTTCTGAGGCAGTATCATTATGGAAGTAGATTGCCCAACCTTCCTTCCGAGGAGTGGCTGGTGGGTTTGAACCGCCAGCCTTCTGGTTAGCAGTCATGTGCCTTAGGCACTATGCTACCAGAGCTCCCTTAGTAATACTACTTGTTAGCTAATAATTATGACTGGTTAGTTTAAGCATAGTTCCATTTTCTAACTCCAGATATAGGACCTTAGAGTTATTTATGGGCTCAAGTATAAAAAGAGAGAAATACGAAAGCAGGATACTTATTTGTGTCCTGTGCAAACAGGCGAGGTTTCTGGTAAAATGAAAAAAACCTGGTATTTTTGCAGGGTTTGAAAACCACGTTTTTCCCCCACACACACCAGAAGGATGCAAGCTGCATAGCTTAAAACTAAGCTGCATTCACACTATATATGTAAAACTAGAACTTTGGAAGCCTTGGCTATTAATAGTAATCATAACAAAAATTAATAATGCTCTAGTGGCCTAGTGCCTAAGGCGTTTGACTGCTAACCAGAAAGCTGACAGTTCAAACTCACCAGCCACTCCATGAAAGGAGGACAGGGCAATCTGCTGTAAAGATTTACCACCCTGGAAACCCAAAGGGGTCACTATGAGTTGGAATCGATTCGATGGCAGTGAGTTTGTTTTTTTTTGGTTTAGTAGTAATATACCACCATACAGCTTTTTATATGTCCTTAAAATTATGCACATAATATGAGCTGAACACAAATACTAGGTAGATACACTCCTTGGAGAGATCAATCATAGGAGAATAGAAGGGCAGTGTGTGCACAGGGATATAGAAAATGAATCTGCTCTGTAAACTTTCACCCAAATCATAATAAAAATTAAAAAAATATATGTACATAAAATGGAACTGTTGGATAGGTCTTCACTGTAAATATCAATCTTTTTTTACCTCCTTGTATCCTATAACTAGGAGCTCTGGTAGCACAGTGCCTAAGGCACTTGACTGCTAAGCAGAAGGCTGGTGGTTCAAACTCACCAGCCACTCCTCGGAAGGAAGGTTGGGCAATCTACTTCCATAGTGATACTGCCTCGGAAACCCAAGGAGGGGTCGCTATGAGTCAGCTCTGACTCGAAGGCACACAACAACAACCACAGCAATCCTATAACTAGTGAAGATTACAGTATTTTGTAAACAGATTGGAACAAAAAGCACATCCATGTTATTAACTTTGGCGGGAATGTCTATGTTAAGAATGACCTTAATTTTTTAAATTCTAATACTGTGTTTTATTTTTACTGTACTGTCTTTCAACTTCACAATAAGAGAACTTTACAGAGTATTATTTAAAAATTATGTCTTTTACTCATATTCACATTATGTGACTAATCTTATGAGAAAGAACATGAGTCAAATACTGGCAACTACTAACACAATCAAACTTAATTACTGAAAAGTGCATGTTATTTAAAAATATTTTCCATATATTTTTCTTAATTTGAACACTTAATATGAAAGCAATGACATTCTATGAATCACCAAATGTACATTCTGAATATTTTTCAAGAAAGCAACTTATACCAAACATTTGATTTTCTTGACGTTCTCAATCTTATTTATTATCATGAAGTTACTCCATTAAAGTTCATGTTAAGTTATAATCCGAAGGTTCCTATTCATTCACTAAAGGGTCAAGAAGTTTAGAAGATGTCAGAACATGTGCCTACATTCTATGTATGACACTGGGTAACTGACTGACTAAACTCTGAGCCACTGCTAAATACAGCTACAATTCTACCAAAACACTGTTGTTTACTTTCTCACCTCTGCTATCTTTTTCCAATCTACTCCTTTCTTCATGTGCTGACCTCCACACATAGCTGTCTTTTGTTGAAGTTCTTGTTCCATTTGGAGCATTTCTAAAGGTTGACTTAACATGGTCCCACTGCTGACATTAGAGTTACATTTAGTCCAATTATCCTGGAACCATTTAGAATTCTTTAAGGCAGACTCTGCTGATGTCTCATAGGTTTTCAGCAGCTTTTCCACAACACCATAATTTGACCTAGGATCAGCTGACCTTGGACGGCCAGACAAATTACTTGGTCTCCAGTCGTGTTCATGGAGCATATTCTGGTAACTGCTAGGACTTAGGGGTTCCTGCATTTGTCTGACTTGGCCAGTTGAAAATAGTTTTGTAAGATTATCAGGCACGTTTTCCATAGGCAGGGGCATGTGGACACTTGTTTTCAGAATACCAAACACACTGTCATTTTCTGATATGTTACCTGAATGAGTAACTATGGTATCACAGGGCTTAGGATCTTCAGATGATTTTGAGTAGCTCTGATTTTGCTGTATTGCATGGCAACTTCTATCTGTTCTAAATACAGTTCGGTTAAATTCATCAGTCTTTGCTGCTAGCTTTTCATTCTTTGTTGTCTCTTCAAAGCTGCAACTGAAACTTCTAAGTGGGCCACCACTCTGTGTCACCGAGGAGCTACAGTCATGGCTAACATGAAGATTGGGATGAGATTTAGCAGGATGATCTGGGATCACCTTTTCATATTTTGGTTTATTGGGGGTAGAGCAGGTTTTCTGAAACCACAATGTGGAAGGGCTCTTTTTTGCACCACCTATTCCAATGTTGCATGACCACATGTTAAGTCCAGTATCTTCATTACATGGACACTTATTATCTACTTCGGCTTCTGGTGCAAAAGAAGAAAGTATGACACCATCTTTCAAAGTCTTTCCTTCCTTGGGACCCAACATGGGCATCTCATGCTGTCTCAAAAGGAAATGAGGATTGCAGTTCTTTTCACCTTGACCCTCATGGGCCACAAAACTATTGTCTAAGCTTTCCTTCAACCCTTCATGGGCTTGTATAACTTCAGAATATGAAGTAGGCAGATTCCGAGATGTGCTTCTTGGAGGAGGAACAGGTGGAATTTCACTTCTTTGCAAATCAATTGTGTCAATTTCATGTTTTTCCCTAGATTCACTTTGGAACACATCCACACAGTTCAGATTCTTTCTGTTTTTCTGTTTTTCTTTTACATTGGGCATATCCTGGAGAAAAGAATCAGACTTCATCCTAAAAAATTATAAAACATGGTGTATTAGTGGTAACTTTGTTTAGGACAAGCTCTGAAAAGACACTGTGGCTTAAGAAATGGATTTCTGCTACAGGAAAAGGAGTTGCAACCTCTTCAAACCTCATTTTAATATAAATTTCCTATTCCACAACTTCAAGTCCACTTTCTTATAGGATAAAGCCATTTCTCATTGTGTTTATGGTCCTTCTGACTCTGACCCAAACTATCTTTCAAGCCTTTTCTCAATTTTTCCATTACCTAAATCTTTACCTATGCTCAGACTAGATTATATAGTGTCTTGTATACCGGTATGGCCATTTCTATAGGTTTTCTCTTGCCATTCCTTACCTGGATTGCCCACTTACTTCCTCTCTGCCTAGTGAATTACCATCTATTATGTAACAAGCTCTGCCAGTGCAAGCAGTGATCAAAGCATTTGGCTGCTAACCAAAAGGTCAGTGGTTCGAAATCAACAGCCACTCCATGGGAGAAACATGAGGCATTCTACTTCCATAAAGATGTACAGCCTTGGAAACACTTTGGGGCAGTTCTACTCTGTCCTATAGTCACTATGAGTTAGAATCAACTTGACAGCAGTGGGTTTGGTTTGTAAGGTGAACTCAAGTTTGGCATCTTTAGTTTGAAAGAATGTTTAAAGTAGTATGACATAATTCTGACAAAAAGTGCAATGAGAAAGGAGTAATTCCAAATGGAGAGTTTCATCTAGGTTAGGGCTTAAAAGAAAAGTAAGGATTTTCTGGATGAATAAAGAGTATATGGGAAAAATGAACTGCAAGGTTAAGGTTAATAGTGTGGCTACTCAAAGGACAATGAGTACTTTGGTGTGGATGGATTATAAAGCAGAATGGGGAGGAAGAATAAGACTGAAACATTAGGTCAGTATCAAACTGGAATGTCTTTTCAATTACATAGTTGGGATTCTGAGCTTTTCTTCTAAGGCCATGAAACAACAGTAAGAGTTTTATACCAGGTATGATTTGTACAAGGAAACTGGCAAGTCTCTTCTGAGTCATCTAAATAAAAACCTAATATGGCCACAATGTGGATTCACAGAGAAACTTAACCATACTGATTTATTTATATCTCTTCAATTTATAAAAGATTATGATGGTTTACAATAAAATAGAAAGAGATAAATATCCACTAACAGAGAACAGTAGAAAACATTAAATGAGCAAGAAAAGGGCAAAATTATGTGTAAATCATGATTGGCTAAGAAAATCTATTTTAATTAAGCACAGAAATTCTCTAAGCTTGCGAACAGCAAAAGGAAAAAAAGAAATCACATTATATCTTTCATAGGGTAGCACTATGAACAATCCTGGACAATCTTAGAGCAATTCATTTTCACTTAACTTGTGTAGGGCATTTCACATATATGTATTTTCTAATTTGTTTAATGGTTACTCTTACAGTTATATAGTGTTTCTGAACTGAAAGAGCATTTTCTGTGACATTATAGATGTGTATGTATGATTCCAGTATATACATAATACATGTATGGAAATACATGACACTTAGGGATAAAATATTTCAGTGGAACATCATTATATAATTAAAACTCTATGTTGTTAAGTCTGACATAGTTTAAAATGTATTTAACTCAATTAGTCCAGTTATATGCTCTACCACTGACCAAATACTCAGAATGAAAAAGAACCACATTAAAGGATAATTGTTCATTTATTATGGTGAGTCTCTCTTAACTGAACACCAAAAGTAGGAAGTATTACTAATGGAGAAATTGTAAAGAGAAGTGGAAGGTTTGTGTTAGGAAATTAATAAACTAAAGAAAAATACAATTAAAGTTTCTGTTTCTTATGTAAGGTAACAAATTTTTATAATTCATCATTAATTAAATACCACTAACAAAGTGTATGTAAGAGGCAGTTTGGATTCATTAAAAACAATATTCTTGATTTTCCAACTTAAAGCAATCATAGAGATGTGCCAGCCTACCTTCGGTGGTTAGACTGCTTTTGAATTTCCTCTTGAAAGCTGCATAATTCTTCACTAACTTTGGCAAGTTCTTCAAGAGCCTTGATGCATATAAGCAATAGCATGTTAGTACTTTGAAACGTAAATATTTCTTTAGAAACAATTCTAGGCCAGGCACATCTTTACTTACTGTATTTAAGGTGCCAGAAGAGCTCTTGCTTTCTTTCTCAGAGGTCTTCAGGTCAGGCCAGGCTTCACATTCCTTTCTGTTGTCTGCAGCCAAAGGATCCATAATCCCTCCTTCTGATTTTTTGGTTGCTTTTTGTTCCTTATGTATTTGATCTCCTTTAGTGAATAAGCTCTGCTCTGTTTTATTGTCTTTTTCCACACCAAATTTGTGATTTAGCCCTATAAATTCATATTGTCCTGAACTGGGGTAATTGGGAAAAGGGTCTACCATTTTGTCTTGATGGACTTTCTCACAATCAAGATCAATGGTCTTATTAGCACGTTCATTCATGCTGATTTTCCTCCGAAGCTTTACTTCTTGGCAAAGCTATAAAGAAAATAAAGAGAAAACTTTTTCTTCCTAATTCACTATAGTTTTGGTACTTAGCAAAGTGTTTGGGAGCTCTGGTGGCGTAGTGCCTAAGACATCTGACTGTTAACCAGAGGGCTGGTGGTTCAAACCCACCAGCCACTCTTCGGAAGGAAGGTTGCGCAATCTACTTCTGTAGTGATACTGCCTCAGAAACCAAGGAGGGATCGCTATGAGTCAGATCCAACTCGACGGCAGTGAGTTTGGTTTTTGGTTTGAGCAAAGGGTTTTGAGTTTTCTTTGTCATATTATTATATACTACTCCCGGTGTTGATGCTTAAAGCAAACCAGTTGCGACTGAGCTGAGTCTGACCCATCGTGACCCCATGTGTGCTAGAGGAGAACCATGCCTCCGCAGGGTTTTCAGTGGCTGACTTTTTTAGATATGGATCACAAGGCCAATATTCTGAGTTGACCAGAACTTCTAACCTTTCAGTTAGTAGCTAAGCATATTAACTGTTTACATTATTTAGGGACTCTCAAAAACTACTTGCCATTGACTCTGACTCATGGCAAACTCATATGTGTCAGAGTAGAGCTGTGCTCTATAGGGTTTTCAATGGCTGTTTTTTTCTAAGTAGATAACCATGCCTTTTATCCAAGGTGCATTTGGGTGGACACCAACCTCTAACCTTTCTGTTAGCAGCTGAAGCATTAACCGTTGGCAATATCAGAGGCTTATGCCTCCAAATAGTGTCTCTATAATTAGGTTAGCTAAAACAACTTTGATGAACCCTAAAATGACTTTTAGTAGGACAAAGCATGGGTGGTAACTTGTACCTTTCTGACTAGAAATCGACTTTCAAAAATAAATTAAACCTGTTTTTATAGACAGATATTATGATGACACAGAAGCATGGTCACAGAACTGAAAAGACAAGAATCACTAAACTAGCCATGATCTCTAGTTGCTTCCAGAGTGAAACAGGAGTTTAATGGAAAGTCCCTCTCTCTCTCACACACACACACACATACACCTTATTTCTACACCATCATTTAACTGTATTAATAAACAATTAGCAATCTCATTTAGTAAGTCAGCTCATCACATTCCCAAAGCAGATATTTTGCAAAGGATGTTTCCTTTGGAAATTATGTTCATTAAAGCTAAATATTACTGAAATCATTTTTAATGCCATGGCTCCATACATTCTAAAAATGTTTTTCTGTCCGGATTAAAACAATGTGACCATTGTTCTATGTAATATAACAGAACTCTGCATAATAGAACTCTATGGTCCCTTTGATTAGACAGATCTCAGTTATGCCTGCAGGCACACACTCGGCTCACCACTAAATAGATAAAGGAAGTGGTTTTCACAGTTCTTGTCAAATTTCGAGAGAGATGGTTTGATAGCTCTAAAAGCACTTGGCTCCACATTTCACAGCCACTATCTTTATCTACACTGCAAATATTATTCAAGGAATATACCACCAGATTTGCTCAGGCACCATGCAGACAGCAAGGCGTGAAAAGCACCCCAGGGTGTGTCCCAGATGATGAAAATATTTCTTTGTTGCAGTCCTCTGTTTCTCTGATGTGGAAAATATTAAGTCTCAAAAAGGGCAGTATCTATATGAATAATAATCCAGTTTAAATATGTTCAATGCCTGCTAACTGATAAGGCTAATATTTACTAGAGTTGTCAGAAAAATTATTTGAAAAAAAATTTAACCAGACACAAGATTGTTTAAGGTACACGGTATCATGCACACAAACCCAGACTCACTTAACTATTTTGCTTGGATGCTAGAATTGTGTGCAACTGTTACTAACTGAACCTCCCAGACTTTGTTCAATGATAGATTGAACTGTGTCCCCAAAAAATGTGTGGTAATTTCTAAACTATATGTCTGTGGCTATAATCCCATCTGGGAACGAGTTGTCCTTGCTACGTTAATGAGGCAGGATTAGTGTGGGGCATGTCTTGAGTCAATCTCTTTTGAAACCTAAAAGAGATTAAGCAAGCAAAAAGAAGAGAGATGGGGTAACACAGATGCGAAGAGGCAAGGAGAGCTCCAAGGAATTAGGAAATGTAAGCTGAAGGTACAAGTCAGGAATCAACAGGAAAAGAAAGCCTTTCACTAGAACTGGCACCCTAAACTTAGACTTCTAGCCTTCTAAACTGAGAGAAAATAAATTTTTGTATTAAAGCCATCTACATGTGCTATCCTGTTAAAGTAGCATGAGATAACTAAGACAGGACCCAATGACTGGCAGCCAGTTTATGACTGAATTAGAGTTTGGAGTCTGATTTGACCTAGGCATCTCCTTGATCACATATTCAGGTAGAGGAGGGACCAAGCAGGAGCTTATTCCTTTTCTAAACTATAGACAGATAAGGAATGAATTCTTCCAAGCAAAAGGTCATATGATTTTGCCTTTTAATCTCTAATCATGCTTGCCATCTTGGTTCTATTTTAGAGGAAGGGTTTAATAGTTACTTTTTTTTTTTTCCTTTTAGCATACCAATTTCATTTTATTCAAAACCAATTGTTAATAAGAAAAAATATTTGTGTTACAAACACATAGGGACTTGCTTTGACTGACTGAATAAGGTCTAAAAAGCCTACTGTATTAAAACCACCACTTTGGTAATATGCATAAAGCCACAGAAGTCAAAACTATGGCTGCTACCAGGAGAATGTATGATAAGTGTAAATAATTTTCAGTTGGAGCAAAATTGAGAATACAATAATACAAACTCTTGAAGGAACTATTCCAGGCCTAAGAGACTGAGGATGGTTAATGGAGATAAAAGGATTATTTGTGTCAGAGTTATGGCAAGTTATTTTTCATAATCCCTTTCTTAATAAATGTACCACACCCTACCAGAATAATATTCATGTCCACTGCCATTTCGTTTGATTATGACACTCCTTTGGACTACACCATGTTATCTAGCATGTAGTTTCTTTTGTTGTTCTTGTTGTTATGTGCTGTCAAATCAATTCCAACTCATAGCAACCCTGTAAGACAGAGTAGAAATGCCTCACAGGGTTTCCAAGGCCATGAATCTTTCCAGCAGAGTGCCACATCTTTTTCCTGCAGAGAGCCTGGTGGGTCAAATCACTGACTTTCGCATCGCAACTGAGTGCTTTAACCACTGAGATACCGGGGCTCCTTTTGGTAGACATTAATTAGTATTTATCAATTATCTCAGGAAAGATCCATATTCTAATGACTAATTGTAATTTCACTAATACATGTTCCACCAATTAAGTCTTACTTTCTTGAGTTGTCCTCTTGGGCCCTGTTGTTTTAAAACTCATGCAAAATACGTATTTGATATAAATGATGTCTGGCCATAAAACAATAAACTGATACATTTTGGAATGACATTTCAAGTTCTGAATTTCCATGTGAGGCTATCAAATAAGCACAGATCTTAAGATACCATTGGCTAAGGTCATGATATTTTTGGACTAGTAAATATTACTCAGATGCATATATTAGGTTGAATTTAAAAAAATTAAAAGTTTCCAATACAAGGATGACTTTAATTTTCATTCTGAGCTTGGGATTTACAATACATTCAAAACAAACCTCTTCTATCTTCTTCTGCATGATCTTCCATTGACTTTCCCATTCCTTCCTTTCATTGTCAAACTGGTCCAGTAATTCCATCTTTTCCTTGTGCCAGTTAGTCTCTGTGTTCTCCCACTGCTTATGTAGGTCCATGGCAACAGCCTGTCAGTGAAGAGGTGTTTCTGCTCGTCTCTGCCTTCTCTTAACTGTTTCTTGGAAGCTTTGAGTTGTTTTATTTGAAGCAGTCTCACTTGCCTTTAAAATAAAGCCTAATGTAAACATAAGAGAAAGTTCCAAACTCATGTGCTTTCTGGAAACATATTTTATCATTTTGTTAAGAGCTGTTCACATAAATGAACTCTAGGAAAACTGGACTCAGAAGAAGGGATACTGATCTGCTTAAGAACAAGAAACAAATACTGTCAATAAATAAGTATTGCCAAAGTTGTTTTTTTTTTTTTTCCCCTTCTCTCCCGAGACCAGTCAGCAAAATTCTAGTGGACAACAGGGTTAGTTGCATGGGTAAGATATATGTGCTCCTTTAATTACCCACTTCATCTAAAGACAGATTTTTTTTCATGAATATCCAAGAGTGGAAATATCAAATTTATATGGTCACATTTACACAACTCTGCAGATTCTGCTGCTAATGAATGGTCATCCTGTTCTGATGCAACCTAATTATGTATTTCTGTGACTTAATGTCCTGAGCCAGTGCTGGACTATAGTTTCAATTCTATTTTCAGAGACCAAGACCATCGTACCAAAGGAATACTGTACCAACTATGACTCAAGGTTGGTAGTCAGTCTGGGACTGATGTATCTATAAAAGACCACACACTAAATTATAATGTTTCATTATTTTACTTCATTAAATAAAATCTGAAAATTAACACTCCTGTCAGTTGTATGTTAAATTTGATTCATGCTCTCTATTCCTTCTCCACTATAAGCCATAATCTGTTTAGGGTATCAGAATTCAGCGAACAGAGATAGGACATTTGCCTCAGTTCACCAAGAAACCCTCAATTAAATAATGACAGAAATACTTTGATTTCAAGGGTTCAAGGTGTATGTATTTAAAGATGTAGTGTAAAGTATCAGATCTGTAACTCTGTTCTAAGGCCCCTATCCTTTGTTTTACTTTATTTAGATTAAAATGTCCCCATTTTAATAATATATTAATACATTATTAATATAATAATATATCCACAATGTTATTATAAAGATTAAATGTCAGACTGAATTAAAAATAGTCTGTGAAATAAAAATAAATCCTGGTTTTTTTGCATTAAAAAACTTTGCTCTCAGTTGAAAATCATTAGTAGTTAATAAAGTAATATACTTTTTTAATGGGTAGAAAAGCATGTTTTGAATGTTTGAATCTCCATCTAAGAGAAGCATGCCTATAAGAAATCTAAGTCTTCCCTTTACTAGTTCATTACCATATTGCCTTATCAGGTGACAGCTCATACTAATTATGGGCAAAATTTCCAAGACTGCTAACCAGATGGTTCAAACCCACCAGCCACTCCTCGGAAGGAAGGCTGGGTAATCCTACTTCCGTAGTGATACTGTCTTGGAAACCCAAGGAGGGGTCGCTATGAGTCAGGACTGACTCGACGGCAAATAACAACAACAACAACATAGCTTCCTGAGTGCTGGTACTGTGGAATTTAATCTGCATAACCAGGCAGCAAATGCCAGTTCTGTAGTCACAAAAGATTACATAACTTCATATCCCAAATATAAGATAAACACTGAAAACTAGTATTTTTGTCAGACTGTTCTGAACATATATATCTGACAGGTAAACTGTTCTGAACATGTATTTTTTGGGCTGCAGCCTAATTATGAATTATAATAGACTGATAAGGATGTGTTGCATTCTGTTACACATGGGGTCGCTATGAATCAAAACCGACTCCATGGCACCTAACAATAAGAAGGAGGATTTAAAAACTGCTACCTGTAGATGCACACACAGGTTCACCTCCCAAAACACCCTAATAACATGGGAATCTATATTGTTCTCTTCTCTCCAGCTACATGCTACAGACGCTTTGATGATTTTTACGTTTTTCTTTGGCGCTCACAATACTATGATTCATCCAGTCAGAAAAAATAAGTTATTTCAGAGGTAGCCATTAGAAATGCTATCATTCCTCATTTCATCTACTTAGCTACATTGTGTTTGTAACCTCATTTTCTCTATCCTGTTATTCCTCCTTGATTTTGCTACTGCCCCACATATACTGAGCCAGCAACCACAAGTATCTGCTACAGCAAACAACCAGCTGCTCTAAAATAAATATGTCTGTGAAGTCCCAACAAAACGGAGATGGTAAAGACACAGAATTTACTTTTTGTTTGCTTTTGGCTATTCTTTTATTGATCTTGATTATCTAGTAACCTTTCGGGTATACCTAGGAGCTACTCATGGGAAATACAGAAAGTGGTTATTTTCAGAGACTGGCAGACTACTTTGAAACTACACATCACCATGAACAGAACATGTCTTGCTGAGTAGTTCACTAGAACTTATCAGGACAAGTGGAATAGTTTTACTTGAGACAGGAAAGGAGAGATACAGATAAGAAATAAATAAAACATGAAATAAAGTCAAGAAATAGTTGTAAATTTAACCAAGGATGTTATAAAAGGAAGCAGACCAATCTCATGCTTTATGGAAAAGAAGTGCTATGATATTTATGGAAAGGAAGTGCTGTGTTTTATCTACACCATCTTTAAACACTGACAAGATTCAGAAATCCTCATGAAGTTTCTCTTACAAGGCTGTAGCAAATGGCTCCATTTTTTTCTTTCTAATCCTAACTCTTCTTGAACCACTTCTACATCAGAGTTAAAATGCTGATGTTTTACCTACCTTAAAATCATCCAGGAAAACTCTACCAGACATGTTCTTAGTAATAGGATTATAACTGAATCCAGGGTCCTGAAGCAGACTGAATCCTGCCTTAATTTGCAAAGACCCAAACTCATCACTTGGGAGCTCTGGTAGCATAGTGCCTAAGGCACTTAACTGCTAACCAGAAGGCTGGCAGTTCAAACCAACCAGCCACTCCTAGGAATGAAGAGGGGGCAATCCACTTTCGTAGTGATACTGCCTCGGAAACCCAAGGAGCGGTCGCTATGAGTCGGGTCCGACTCGACGGCACATAACAACAACAACAAACTCACCACTTAATATGGAGGATAGCCAGTCTAAAAAGCATCTTCTTTCCAGGGACAGAGCAATTTATAGTGTTAGGAAATGTGTTGTTGGTGAATAAAAAAAATGTGAATTTGGACAAAAAATTCTATAGAACAAAATCTGCGCCAATTTTTGTGGTAAGATTCAAACATCTTAGCATCTCTGCCTTGTCATAAATATCAAGTATCCAAAAAACAACCAAACTCACTGCCGTTGAGTCAGATCTGACTCATAGTGACCCCTCCTTGGGCTTCCAAGGATGTATCACTACGGAAGGAGATTGCTCAGCCTTCCTTCCAAGGACTGGCTGCTGGGTTTGAACCATCAGCCTTCTGGTTAGCAGTCAAATGCCTTAGGCACTACGCCACCAGAGTTCCTAAACATCAAGTATATTTCTTCCTCCTCTGCAAATAAACTGCAACTGCAGAATTGTGAGAATTCAATGAGCAAGAGACATATGCTTACTTATGAAAGGTGTCTAAGTGTTCTGGCTCCTAATGAGTGGTCAAAAAATGTCTATTCCAGGTTTCTTATCATGCCCTTCTCTCCTTCCTTTTTTCCCATCTTCTTTCTCTCCTTCCCTTCATTTATTCCCCACTCAATGTTTTCTTTGTCTTGTATAACACAACTTATGTTGATATTTAGAAATTTCATGGAAGCAAGTCTCTAACTCCTTGAAACAGCTTTTATTTTCAATGATTTTCCTCTGGCCTTAGATTTTTCAATTTAAGGACAGATGGTAAGTTAAGTGTTTAGAGAAAACCTTTTTATTGTTAGCAAAAATCTGAACAGACACATACACAAAGACAGCCTAGCCAAGAGCTACTGTCTGGTGAATAATACTTAGGGAAATGACTAAACTAAAAAAATCAAATTCACTGCCATTGAGTCAATTCCAACTCACAGTGGCCCATTTGGGTTTCCAAGGCTGTAAATCTTTATAGAAACAGACTTCCTCATCTTTCTTCTGTGGAGAGACTGGTGAGCTCGAACCACTGAGCTTTTAGTTAGCAGCCAAATGCCTTAACCACTACACCACCAGTACTCCTTACAGAAATGACTTGTTGGCATTAATTCATGCAGAATTAAGAATTCCATGAAAAAAAGAGAAGCTGTACACTGCAAGTAAATGAAATCTGGAGACAGCATGATTAGAGTAACACTGAATCATGAGGTTTTACTTCCAGTTTGTTCTTCAGTTGTCTCCTATTGCTTTTACTGAAATCCTCATCCTGTACATTTTAATATTAAAGAGAGTTTCTTTCAACTCTTAATAATCTTAGATTTTTCCAGACATTTATTGAAAGTTTTAAAATTATGACTAATGCCTCTTCAACTATGTCAGTAAATAAAACAATAAGTAAACAAACAAAAATTTTAATAGTCCAATCTTTGTAAAAAACTATTATTATAATGATAAATATAAAAAAGAAAATTAAATTGAAGGGCAATTTTGCAGGACCAGAGTGTTCTGAAATGAAAAGTTATGGGTGCATTGGTCCAGCAGACTAGAAATCTCCATTTCAGTGCTCTCTACAGAGGCAAACACAAACGTTCTTTCTGTTCCTAGTTGCTACTCTTTATCTCCCACAGATATTGGCATCTATGTGGGAGAGGAGGAAGGATTTTTGCTATCTGCCCTACCTACTCTCTATGTCTCTCTCATTCTCCATTTCATTACTTGCAGAATATTCACGCAGAATAGAAATTTGTTACAGCAAATGTATAAAAGACAAAGAGAGGTGCATTATGTAGCCTAAGCTAGCATTAAGTAATTCCTTTTAACCAACCACAGCCAGAAACCAGAACTATAAAAGGTTGTGAGTGGGTTGAATAAGTATGGTAATGGGAGAAATATAATCTGCTAAACTCTGGCCCTACCAGTGAGCAAAATACAAAAGCAATGCATTGATGGTTCTCATAAATTATTTTCATTCCC